TACGCTCGGGGTACGTCACGCCCCCATGTCAGACTCCCACGCCTGCGCATACGCCGTGAGCCAAGAAAGCCAGACGACCGCCCACATAACAGGCGCAGTGAGCGTAGTCAAGATTATTCTAGATTGTCTGTGAGCAGGCCATACGCTAGGAATATTCTAGAAAGAACGGAGCCGTATAAATATGACGGAGTGGACGACCTAAAGGACTCCGACGGACCGTTAGAACACATAGAACCGGACAGTCCCGCAAGCCCTAAAGTCTTTGTGTACGGTTTAATAAAGCCATTGCCTACCAGGACCGCTTTTTTGGCTTCTTTGGCGTGTTAATCGGGTTCGAAATACTGAGCTATAACAACTGGCGACGCCGAACAAACTGGGCTATAGCAATAAAAGTCGCAGGCAAGGGCTGCCCTGCATTCGCGTGTGTTTCTCTCGACTACTCTTCTTTTTCTTCTTAATAAAACTTCTGCAGGCGGCTCTCCTGGCTCGGCTGTCTCTTGGCTTGGGAACTATTTCACTTTTCGCACTCAATTCGTTTAGTGCGGAAAGCGAAAATCCACGCTCATTCCCGACAACTGTGGGGTTCTCCAAGGTTCTGCATTATCTCCTCACCTCTTATCCCTCACACTGACGACCTACGATCGCCAAATGAATGCTTGTACATTAAATATGCTGTGGAGTTGGCTCTCTCTCTCTCCACTCGAAACTCTCCAAGTTTCTGCGTCAGCGGATAATTGCGAGGGCGGAGGCAGTTGCCATGTGGCTAATTAACACGTGGAAGGCCTTTGTACAGGTACTAAGTCTCCCTTGAGCGAATACAAACTCGACTTGCGTGTACAAGCCGCGCAGCGAGACAGCAATAGCGTGCCTCCCCATGCTCTGCCCTTTGCTCAGCCATGATGGGAAGTGCTCCCGTATACTCTTAAATAAGCGCCAGCTCGTGCGACCGATATAACCTGTTTCACAGGAACAAATAAATTAGTAAAAAGCACATCAAAGTGGTCTGAACTGGCAGCCGCCTATTTTTAACCCCCAATTCGTCCTCTCCTACTTCTGTGACTAATTTTCCTCCAATAATGAACGTAATTACCGGCATGCTTACCTTGAATCTTTTATCCCCTTCCCATATAAATGTAATAGCCCGAGGAGAATTTATTGAAAGCTTACGTAAGCTCGCCAATTACTCTTCTGAAAAATGTGTTATTGCATGTCTTTCTGCGTGCATGCAATCGGCAGTCATGAGTGCATGGAAGAGAGAAGTGTATGTAAACCTGCGATGGGCGGCAACTCAAATCGGCCTAAAATGAAACTGATGCGTTTGCATATATCCCGAGGCTTTAATTCGTTGCCAACTGGCGGGATAAATGGTTTCGGCATGAAGCTAGAAAAACATATGCCTACTTAACGCGCATGGTGATATTTGAGGTTTTATGAACAATGCTAAAGGACGGGATGAACAGCGTACCCCGCGAACACGAACTGTCGAAAATGCTTAAAAAGCCAAACATGTTGTTTAAATACAACCACCGAAAACTTGAGCCAGTTATTTTAAAAGCAGGTGAAAAGAACTGTATTGGTCCAATCAGCTGCATCCAGCAACCAGAAGTAGAAGCGAAGGCAAGTAATGTACCAAAAATTTACAAAAAAGTATGTAATGAACAAGATAGAGGTAACACTTACAAAATAGCAATACAAATAGCAAGAAAAATAAGGAGAGATAATTGGAATCATTCCCAAAATAAAAAAAAGAGTAAGTAATCACTGCGGAAGTCGTTATGAGCATCTTCGTGAAATAATCATAGAGCTCTAGCCCAAATCCTAACCACAAAATTCTAGCTCTTATCTTAGTAGTAACACTCAAAGTCGGACAAATCTCGTAAGTGCAAATTTTGAACGCTTATTTTAAAACGCCAAGCATGAACGCAATCCTAACTTTTAAACCCTAACCCCAGCTTTTAGCCCTGAATTTTAAGCTAACTGATGCTAACTCCTAACATACTCCCTGTTAGCCCTACTTACTTTACGAACTACACTCACCGTAAGAAAATAAATACGCACCTTCAAGTACAACAAAAACAACGCAGTGTGGCCGGGTTCAATACGGTTTCTGGTAGTGGGTCGTCGCCTGTCCGATGTCTGGCTTTCCGATCGTGGCCGCAATCCGTGTAGACCTCAAGGTCGTTAAGCTCGCCGGACTTACTGGCACGAGACACAGGCCACCCACGAGGTCCAACGACTGTGTCAAAATACACGTCGTCCAACCAATCAAAGGCCGAGCTAGCCAATGAAAGCGCTCCCTCTCTGTCTTCTGGCCTGATTCCTGCTAAGACCTCACTTGGGACCCGGT